CATCGCTGCATCACTTGCATCCATTTGGACAATAAAAGGCTTAGTCGCGTCTGGGTGCTGGAGGATGGGCTCAGCTGTGAAGAAGCGTTTTAAGGCCTCGAAAGCTTTCTGACAGTCCATAGTCCAAGCCAGGGGTTGACTTGGCTTCGGTTTGGTGGACGACAGGACCGTTTTTAATAGCTCTGTCAACAGGAGGGAAACTTCAGCAAAGGACGAAATGAATTGTCTATAGAAGTTGGCAAACCCCAAGAAACTTTGAAGTTGTTTTTGGGTTCTGGGGAGTTGCCAGTCCAGCACCGCTTTCACCTGTCTGGGGTCCATTTCAATCCCCAGGTTGGATATTCAGTAGCCTAATTAGTCCAATGACTCTTTGCGGAATTCGCATTTTGAGAGTTTCACATATAATTTGGCAGCTAGAAGTTTTTCTAGAACTTGTCGGACCAATTGAACATGTTCTTCCATGGTTTCACTGAAGATAAGGATGTCACCAGGTACATGAGGACCCTCCGGTAAAGGTGAGGGTGTAGCACCTCGTTGATGAGCTGCATAAACACTGCAGGAGCCCCCTGAAGTCTGAAAGGCATGACTTTGAATTGGAAGCTACCCAGAGGGCAGTTAAAAGCAGTTTTCCACTCATCTCCTTCTTTGATGCGAACCCAGTAGTACGCTTTCCTGAGATCTAGCTTGGTGAATATCTTGCCCTTCGACAGGTGGTTCAATAAGTCCTTCATAAGGGGGAGAGGATAGATGTTTTGGACGCATACAGTGTTCATACCTCTAAAGTCAACACGCAATATCAACCCGCCATCTTTCTTTTCCTTGAACAGCACGGGGGCAGCTAGTCTTGACTTGGCAGGCTCAATAAAACCTCGTTCCAAATTGCTGTCAATGTATTTTCTTAATTCAGTCATTTCAGCAGGCATCATGGAATACATCTTTGGTTTTTTTAATTTCGCCCCGAGATCTAATTCTATGGTGCAATCAGTGGCTCAATGGGGAGATAAGTCATTACACTCTTCTTCACTGAATGCTTCAGCCAAGTCTTTGTATTGGTCAGGTACCTGGGGGTTATCTGGGAGAAGGTAGGATGCCATGGATGCTGGCTCAGGCTCTGGGTTCAAGCTGACCGGTGGCTTTGTAGTAGGTGGAAGAGGGGGCAATGGGCCCAGTCCAATGAGGATTTTTTTGAATCCATCCTCCCATTTGATTGTCGGGGCCCATTTGTCTAGCCAAGCAAGTCCCAGTATGATTGATTTTGACATCTTGGGGGCCACTATGAAGCGTATGAGTTTGCGATGGGGCCCTAATTCCATCTTGATCAATTCAGTCATCTGAGTGGCTGACCCCATTAAGGTTCCATCCACTTGCTCAAATCTGATTGGGCGTTTTAGCGGGTTAGTCTTTATGCCCAATTGTTCAATGATGGGGAGTCCGATAAGACATCTAGAATACCCAGTATCAATAACAGCTTCTAACTCCCCAGCCTCCCGCGTGTTTGGTACCACTAACTTGACCTTGACTGTAAAAGGTATGATGGGATCACTCACCATTGGGTTGTCTTCGCAGGTTGGGTTCTCAGGGATATGGTGGCGGTCTGGTGGCCCATTGCTCCCATCTGCACAGAGAGGGCTTTCCCAGCTGTGTTTGGTGAACCCTCCCCTGGCCAGAGGTCTTTCTTGATTCTTCCAACCTCTGACAGCTGGATTTAACTTTGACTGCAGAGCTTGTGGTACAGGAGCAGGGGCCAGATAGTCTGCTGCTCTATGGCCGGCTTGGCCACATCGGTAACATTTCAGCACCCTGGTAGGTTGGGTACGAGCAGGTTCGGCTGATCCGGTCGGCGGTCTCCTAACCACAATTCTCTTAGGCAGGGCTGCTGGAAGGGGTTTCCTCTGTGGGTTGATGCTGCAATCTCAGCTGAGGGATGTGACATACCATGATTGTAAGGTCTCTGGGATTCCCCTAATTTCACAGACCTTCTTTACTTCTGAATCAATGGCATTTTTAAAATAGTGTAAAGTCATTCTTTCAGGCCAATCCATGCGGTGGCTTGCGACCCTTCTAAAGTCCCAAATAAATTCTGACAAGGGTCGCTTGCCTTGCCTCATTTCCGTTAACTTCTCTTCGTTCTCTGCTACCCTGTCTGGATTTTCAAATCTGAGTCTTAATTGAAAAAATCTGTTTACATTGCATAATTCGGGGGCTTGTTCGTTGTGTAGTTGGGCCACCCAATCTGAAGCATCCCCTTCATTCATCCCATTTGTTATGGCCGTAACCAAATCACACTCTGTAGTGTATTGATCTCCAAATTGTTCTATATGAAATCGGATTCAAGTGAGGAAGTAATGTTCGTGGTGGCCATCGAATACGGCCTTAAAGGGTATTTGGTCTGGCCTCAGTCGTGGTTGTGGAGGTGACACAGGCTTCTCTTCACTGGAATGAAAGGAACCGGCCTGGTGGCGTACCTAGGCTGGGTAGGCCCCCGTATCCTGGCTGGGTGGTGCCTCTCTGGAATAGGGGTCCCTGTGGCCTCGCTGCCTGCTGGGCTACATTTGTGGTGGCCAGGAAGAAGATCAGTGTGGCCTGATTCCCTGGTCGGGTGGAGGGGAAGTGGCTGCTGTCATCTGGGCAGGCCCCCTTCAGATCAGGGCTGGGTTAGTGCTGGCTGCCGTTGGTATTGAATCCACCTCTGGCCTGGATCAAATCCCCACCCTGGAGGGATACTCTGCAGGGGGCAAAATTCCCTCTGCAAAATGAGGGGATTGCCTCAGAGGCTGCAACATACCTCTGTCAGTTGATGTGTCTTTCTGGCTTCCTCCAACTGGCATCTGTATAGTCTCCTCCCTCTAATCAGACATAATAGCAATCTGCCTGGGGCTCAAGAAAGATTTCTCTTCAACCAGCTGGGTTACCTCTGGGTTATAACAGTTGAAATGCTTTGGTATAGCTCCCAAACCTCTTTCCTCTACTATCATTCTGAAAGCATCCATCATCTCCTCCAAACAAAGGCTCGCAGATTCAATTAATGTTCCAGAGGGAGGGCCCCCATACTCTCCCCCTTGCATATCTCCAACTTCGGCTGATTGTTGATAATTCTCCATTTCAGGAAAAAGAACTCAGGGGTATCAGCCAAGCCCCTTCAAAAAATAAAAGTTTGTCTTGGGAAATAAATGTTAAGGCATCCAGAAAGTATCCATGATATCAATCACTCAGAGACATTTCTCTCCAATTGATTTATTTAGAAACATCTGGCATGTCAAAGGCAATTTCCCAAGTGAAATTATTTTCGCGCGTTACACAGAATCCACCTTCTCTCCTCCCTTCTCTCCTCCCACTTCTACACTTCATAAATCACGAGAACCAATTAACTGCCACTGGAATTTCTTAATACAACATACAGAATAACCTTGAACTTTTCAACTCCGCCAACTCTCTTTAAAAAAAAATGTGACAGATGAGTTTTAAAGCTGACAACATGTTCTTCCTTTAGAAGAACCTTGCACGGAATGAGTACCAGTTGATGAAACGGGATTTTCTTGGACTGGAATTGTGATTTCGATGCAAAATAGAGGGTTTAGAATTAAGAATGCTCACATCATTAGTAACAGTAGCTGTCTTTTTAGTGCACAGAAAAGGATTTCAGTAACTAAAGACAATCTAAGTTTACCACTTATAACCAGCTCCTTTAAAACCATTTCATGATATCCAGTATAAAATACAACCATATAATCATGCCAAGCCTCCCAGATGTGCATAACTCACAGTGCTCTTCATTTCCCCATTTGTTAAAGTACTACACAAAAGACGTTCTCATGACCCATCATTAAAAATAGAGTATAATTTTCTTTAATAGCTGTGCATTTGGGGCTCACCAAGGCCTTTATTGCTGCACAGTTTGCCAGTTTGGTTATTGTCTTGATCCTTTACATGAAATTTGAGTTTCCTATATCAATATGTATGTCTGTTTTAATTTGAGCAAAGTAAACTATCCACTTGGAACATTTATACATTACAGAATTAAGATAAGAGAGTTCTGCAGCTTTTTCTAATTAAATTTTATGCATTTATTTGATTTATATATTGTCTTTCAAACAAAAATGCCCATATATTTCACATAGCTCTTAGAGTGAAAGAGCTAGCTTTCTATATTTCATATAGCTCTTAGAGTGAAAGAGCTAAGCTTTCTTCAGAATTCCTATTATAAATTCCTATTACAAATATAGTTTTGTATATATCTCCCAAATATTTTGGGAAAAAATAATTCCTAAGAAAACAATTGTACAATTTTAGAATTGTATATATATCCACCCAGCTTTGTCTTTTCAAATGACCTCTAAATTACCCTTCCAAAAGTCTCTTATAACATTCCTAAGAAATATGTTTATTAATTATTTTACAAGAAAATAGCCTCTTTTTTCCAGCTTTACACAGTTTAAATATAAAATTACTGCTTACCATAATAAAACAGCATTCCTCTTCCAAATTAATCTTGTTTTTTCTTGTTTTTGTTCTTGCATACTGAATCCAGTTTCTGATATTTGATTACTATCCAAGTTGGACTCTATTTCCACCCTTCCCTGACCAACATGACCAAATTTGCTGGGAATGTTGTAAATTATGGACAAACCATCTAGAGTAATAATACTGCAACAGGCTACATAGAAATGAGTATATAGGCATGCTGAACCTTTACATTCATAAATGATATATTTTGTGCATGCTTTTGCTATTTCCTCCTTGCATTGATATGTAATACATTTACATATATCATAATGTGATAATGAAAACAGAGATTGTGAAGGCTAAATCATTAAAGTGTTTGGAAATTAGGGTGATTAGTCAATCATTTTTTCATAAGTTATGATTTTTGCTTTATAATCGCTTTTTCTCCTGGGGTCATTGAAACTATATCCACTTACAGTTATATCTGATGTATTTTAAATAATATTTTGCTTTTCTTTCCATAATTTATATCATTTTCTTTCACCTATTTTGTACAGAGATTAAAAGATCTCAAGCAAAGAGAATTTGCTCGCAATGTTTCGTCAAGATCCCGGAAGGATGAGAGAAAGCAGGAGAAAGCCCTTCGCCGTCTACATGAGCTGGCTGAACAGAGGAAACAACTTGAATGGTGAATTACGACCTACTACAAGGATGCAGAATATTTAAAGCTAGAGTCGGGCGGGGGTGTTTAAATGGAGCTTTTGGTCATTTTGTTCCTTAAAAATACTCAAGCTGCCTGCCATGGTTCCTGGTCCCTTTCAATTTTTTTACTTAGTCCTCAATATTCCTTGCAAAGCCTGATGTGATATTTGAGTGTTAGAATTTGAACAGTGCTGGTAAAAAAAAAAGTTTTATTTCAACATGCAGGTTTGACTGACTTGTAATTAAATATGCAATTATTTCAAGTCATGCACTAGAGATAGAATGGAGTGCTGCTATGGCTGCTTAAATCTTTGTAGACCAAAATTTTAATCTGCCATTTCCTCAAAACAGAAATGCCCACCACCTCTCTCCAACTTATCTGGGATGATTTTTTTTTTTAAAAAAAATGCAGGTTCTGATATGAGTACTAAAATGAGCTGAAATGATTATTAATGGAATTATTAACACCAATAGTTCTGGTATTTTATATGGAAAAAGACCTAAGCCAAAAACAAGTGGGCCATCTATTCATAGAAAGTTCCTTGTATGTATCCAAACTGTGTTAACTTTGTTCTCAGTCATTTTGAGGTTTTTTTCTCTTGATTTTGAAGTCTCGGGTTGTATACATTTAATTTTAAATCTTATACTGAGTTAATTCACTTTCTGACAAGTGCATGCTGTAGAACAGAGTAATGTTTCCATATTGCTTGTAAGAGTAACTTGTTAAACAGATTCTATAAGGAAAGGGAAATTTCAAAACAATAGTTACTGAATATATTCATTGTTTGCAGAGCAATTGTATAAAAGGCAAAAAGATTGCAAATGCATAAAGTTTTGAGTGTAACACTAAGGTGAAAATATTAGTAATCATGTATTTTATTCTTTTTTGGTCTGCTTTTTCTCCCTCCCTGTCTTCCAGTGCTCCAGGAAGTGGCCCGATGTTTAGAACCACTACTGTGGCAGTAGATGAAGAAGGAGGAGAGGATGATGTGGATTCAACATTTCCTGGTAGTTGCTCCTCCTCCTCACCAGCTTCTGGGCAAGCTAGCAACATGACCATGGATAAGAGTATAACTTACAGCAGTGGGCAAATCAGTAGTAGTCCTGGACTTGCTCAAGTTCCTGCCCAGATATCACAAGCTGTTGGTCTGGGAATTAACAAGACAGGTGTGTCTTTCTCATTTGCGAAAAAAGCCCCTGTAAAGCTAGAATCAATTGCTTCAGTATTCAAAGACCATGTGGATGAATCCAGTTCTCCTGATGATGAAGTTAAAAGTGATGAAAAAACCCATTCAGATTCTGGAACTTTGGGAAAAATTGGAGAAATTGAAGGAACAAACAGCTCTGACAGCAAAGGAGAAGAAGATGAGCAATCACAGGAGAAAGATGCTACATTATCAAAGCTAAGAAAAATGAAACGGGATGATGGACCAATGGCAGTAGAACCAGAATATTATCACTATATTCCCCCTGCACATTGTAAAGTGAAGCCCAACTTTCAGTTTTTGCTGTTTATGAAGGCAACGGACCAGGTAGAAGCAGAAGCAGCAAGCAAAAAAATAGCTTGTGAAAGGAAACAAAACAATTCCCCTAAACTCAAAGTGGCAAAAAGTGATGAGAAGGAGACAGCAGCAGAATGTGTGACCCCTCAGAAGGAGCAGAGTCCTGCCAACCAAATCAACAAAATGGAAGATAAGGACATTTTGAGGGAAACAGGCAAGCAAGAAGAAAAACAACTTAAGGGAAACAATTCTCTAGATTCAGATGTCATTAAAGAGATTCCCCAGGCTCCAGGAACTAGTAAAGAAACCACAGAAGGGCCTAAACATTTAACAGGGCCGTTCTTCCCTGTTCTGAGTAAGGATGAGAGCACCACCCTCCAGTGGCCTTCAGAACTGCTGATCTTCACCAGAGCAGAACCCTCTGTGTCATATAGCTGCAATCCCTTATATTTTGACTTTAAGCGGTCTCGTAACAAAGACGTTAAAATGAAAGGAACGGAAAAACAGAAAGGTTCAATAAACCTTTCAAAGGAGAAAATGCAGGCTGCTGAAGATAGTGATGCAAGCAAAAGCAAAGAGAAGGATATACTAGCTGGCAGTTCAACTACAGTGCCAGAAAGCAAGACCTTGGTAATGTGTGGCAAGCAGGAAGTCAGCCCTGTAAGAACTGGCAAAAGTGAAAATCTGGAAGAGAGCAGTAGAGGCAATCTTGCTAGTCGCAAAGACAAAATGGGAAAATCTCACAAACACAAAAAAAAGAAGAAGCACAAAAAATCCACCAAACGTAAACACAGGCGCAAATGTGAGGCAGAGGAGAAAAGCAGAGAAGGGGACTTAGCAGAAGATAAATCCAAGAAGCAGAAGAAACACAAGCACAAAAAGAACAAATCATCTTTTCTCACTGAGGCTGAACGGATACAAAAGACTGAGGATACTGGCTATTCTAAAAAAAGAAAGTGGTGTGTACAAGACTCTCAAAGGAAGTCTCTTTCTACTGAAGAAAGCAATAAGAAAGAGGATGGTGATACTTCTTCCCAAGATCATGGCAACAAAAAAACCAAGGGGGACTTGCAGCAGTCCTTGTTTGCAAGCAAAAAGCGACCTTCAACCTCCACTTCAGTTTACCCCAGTCATCGAGGCCAACAGAGCAGTGGTGGCTATGAGAGTGATGGAGATTCCTCCTGCCACAAGCACTTCAGGCAGAAATCAGCATCACAATATAGTGATGATTATTACTCTGGCAGTGACTGTTCACGAAGCCGCTCACGGTCAGGACATAGACACTCCTCAAGAAGATCATCTCAGAGATCCTATTCATCAACTTCATATGCTTCCTCAGACAATAGTCGGTACAGTCGGCGCCATAGCTACTCAGAAGACAGCTATAGTGATTACAGTGACCGATCACAAAGTCGTACTAAGCACTCCCACGACTCAGAGGATGATTCAGATTATACCAGTTCCAAGCGCAGATCAAAGAGGCGCAAGTACTCTTCTTCAGAAGATGACTACAGCCTAAGCAGAAGCAGGTCCCGGAGCAGGAGCGGAAGTCGAACTCACACCAGAGGGAGATCAAGGACTAGAAGTCGAGGAAGGACACGCAGCAGTAGCTGTAGCCACAATCGAAGCAAGCGGCGGAGCAGGAGCCGAACAGTACATAATTGGAAACGGAGTAGAAGTTACAGCCGAGAACGTAGTCGGAGCACAAGAAGCCTTTCACAAAGATCTCTCTCACGGAAAGGGTCCCGTGGTCATGAAAGCCCTGGGGAGAGAAGATCTGGCCGGCGTGATTTCATCCGGTCAAAGATATATCGCTCACAGTCCCCTCATTATTTTAAAGTCAGACAAGGTGAAGGGTTTGCAAGAAAGGACGAAGTCAGAGGAGAAGAAGCTATAGGAGCCTCCAGTCTCTCTCAAAATATCGGCAGCTCTAACTTTGGGAACATCTGTAACCCCGAGGAGAAAAATTCTGCCACAGCGAAACTCCTTCTGGAAAAAATCCAGTGTAGAAAAGTAGAAAAGAAATCTAGCAGCAATGATGATTCCATTACAGGATCTCACAAGGTAGGAATTAAACTGAAAGATCCACCACAAGGCTACTTTGGCCCAAAGCTTCCTCCCTCATTAGGCAATAAACCCGTTCTTCCATTAATTGGTAAACTTCCTGCAGTTAGGAAACCAAGCACTAAGCAGTGTGAGGAATCTGGTTTAGAAAGAGGAGAAGAATTGGAACTATCAGAGCTGGATGAAACAACCCATGAGAGTGGCGACCTTGTTTCAGCAAATCAACCTCAAGTGGAGGAAACCTTGGTGACTGGAATAGAGGACAATGTTTCATCTGATCAGAACGCAGAAGTAGCCACAAAGCTAGTTCCTGTTCCTCTTGAGGCCCCAGTACTCCCAGAGCAGTATGGCTCTGGTGACTTGGTTGTGCCACACAATTTCCTCCCTGATCCCAATGAAAATGAAACTTTAGAGCCTCTTGACAGTGGAAACCAACCTGTCCCTATAGAAGGAAGGATGGTACCTTTAGTCCCAGATGTTGAGCATTTTCCTAGCTATGTAGCACAAAGTGGGGAGCCCAGCATCAGTGGGGAGCCTGAAGGCACTGAAGACTCTTCCTTGGCACCTCTAGAGAGCCAGCCCATCACTTTCACACCAGAAGAGATGGAGAAATATAGCAAGCTTCAGCAAGCAGCTCAGCAGCATATTCAGCAACAGTTTCTTGCCAAGCAGGTCAAGACCTTTCCAGCCTCAGCTGCTCTAGCTCCTGCCACAGCCCCTGCCTTGCAGCCCATTCATATCCAACAACCTGCGGCAGCTGCAGCCACCTCCATTACAACTGTTCAGCATGCCATCCTGCAGCATCATGCAGCAGCAGCAGCTGCAGCCATAGGAATCCACCCTCACCCACATCCCCAGCCTCTTGCTCAAGTACATCACATTCCCCAGCCCCATTTGACACCTATCTCATTATCCCACTTAACTCATTCAATCATCCCAGGGCACCCTGCTACATTCCTGGCCAGCCACCCCATCCATATCATCCCTGCTTCTGCCATCCACCCGGGTCCTTTCACTTTTCATCCTGTCCACCATGCTGCCCTCTACCCAACTCTCTTAGCTCCCCGACCAGCAACTGCTGCTGCCACAGCATTACATCTCCATCCCCTTCTGCACCCCATTTTCTCAGGGCAGGATTTGCAGCATCCTCCTAGTCACGGCACATGAAGTGAGAAAGATGTGGCCTCTTTTGGGGAGAACATAGGGGCATATATCTCTGTGTGCATTGATTGGTGTTTTGTACAGACTGTCTGAAGGCCATGACTGACACCACCTGAGAATAGTGAAATGGGAGAACTGGGTGTGGAAAGGGGAAGTGAATGTAACATATCCATGGAAAGGGGGAAAATGTTGCTGAAGTTCTGCTTGTCAGTATTTTCAGGATCCTCTGCACCCAGAGCGGTGACTTACTCACATCTATATGAATGTGAAGTTCTTCAGCAGATAGGCCTCTCTTAATTGCTGATGCTTGTGTTTTTAAATCATTTCCTCTCCACCCTGAAGTTCTGAGTGAATAATATCTAAATTATTTGCCTTTATTTGCTATTTATTTGAGTTCACTTTAAAGCTTAAAACTTTAAGCAAAAGAGTCAAAAGATAGTCTACATCCAACCCATTCCTCTGTTCCTCTCTACCCAATCAAGAACCATTTTCAACAACCTGCTGATTACTACAAACAGCAAGCTTTCTTCTCAAGCAAGATTGGCCCTGCTTTCCTCCCTGTGCCACTGCCACAAGGGGAAGGAACAGAAAGTAATTCCTTTATCAGTCTTTGAAGCAATATGTTGTACTGGAATCCTGGGAACATCCAGAATATGACTTGTATTCTGTCCTCTGTAATATTTGATGGTTCCTTATTAACTTATAATTTTTTTTCAGAAAAAAAAAAGGTTTTTAAAAATTGCACTGAACTCTGTACATGTCAATGCTGCTTTTTGTAGCTCTTCTGACAAATGTTCCATAATGATAGTATACTGCAATAACATTTTTATAGCTTGCTCTTTGAGTGGTACTTGTTCAGGTTGTTTGGGTTATCTATAAATTTTAATGTAGTTGGAAAGAAAGCTTGCAACAAAGGTTCACAGCTCATTGTGGCAAAGGCATAAGAAGAATTTAAGCATGTCTATTCAAGCTCAGTTTTGTTTTCTTGGATGCCAAGAAAACAAAGGAAAAAATAGGAATTATTTTCTACTAGAGAAAATGTGTCAAGATTTGGAATAAAGTAAGAGCAATGATACGAACCTTTTTATACCATAGCTAATTAATTCCAGTGACTTATCTTGGAACATCTGTGAAGCCTGTGTGATACTTTGGTCTTTACTGCATCCTCTTGTAAAGAGCCAGGCTGCTATTTGGAGAGAAGTAGTCCATTGGATGGGTAAAAAAAAAAAAAGTCCAAATGACTTTCCAATCAGAAGAAAAGGTGTGTCCCACAGAAGAATCTCAGAAGTCTAATAACTTTTGGGGGGGGGGGGATTTAAGTTTGCAGCAACAAAGTTTCTATATAGAGGTGTGTGACTGTGTGTGTGTGCTTTTGTGTGTGTATCTATGCACACACACTTGTGTTTATGTAAGGCTATTGTTTAAACGTGTGCCTTTACTGTATATGCTTTAGAGAGATTCTGAGTGGTGTGTTTTTATTTGAATTTCTTCCAAACGAAGTGATGGGTTACCTGATTTCACAGCTGTCCCTTTTAATGGAGAGAATGTCTGCCTTAAAAGAGAGATAATAATTTTGTTACATTTAATTCTTCTACTTATTTTCTTCAACTCTGGTGGGGGGAAAAGAAGGCAAGAAAAGAAAGTGAGCTTTCTGTGCAGCCATGGCTATTTATAACATAACTGTCCAACTACTGCTAATGTTGATCATGGAAAATGGCCTCCATTCCAAAACTTCCAATATAACCACTGTTCTTTGCTTCTCTGAATATTTCAAGCTCCAGGCTTCTTTTCCTTTGCTAATTTTAAAAAAAAGCACTGGGAATACAGCTCTTCTGACCAAGGGACTCAGTATCTAATTGCTTAGATAACTGAGGTAGCAAAACAGTATTTCTGTAATTACTGAATGCTTCATTTCCCTGAGATTAAGACCCAAGATCCAGCATTTCAGTGGGGCACAAGACTGGACTTCTGCAAGAACTGTTCCAACAAAGAACACACTCTTATTTCAGCGTCACATAAAAGTGTGCGTGTGTGTGTGTATATATATATATATAATATAATACACACACACACACACACACACATATATATAGAGAGAGAGCATACATGCTATAAAAATGAGGAAAATAAACTTTATAATAACGTGTGGGGCAAAGTGTATGTTCTTGTTTCCAAAGAAGCAGAATCAAGTTGCTAGTTCTTGTGTTGTCAACACCCACTTTTTAAATAGGTCTTAGCAGAAAGAAGTCCTATAAACCTGGCTCAGTACATTACATATGGTTTATCTAACCACGTGTAATCTGCATATTGCATGTGCAATAATGTTCATTCTGATATTTTGAAGCATGTAAAATACAACTTATAAAAATACTTGGGTATAAAATACCATTCACACTGATGTTTCAATATACCGACTATTCAAACATTACTTTAAAACAAGCATGGATAAACTTGGAAAAGAAGATTACAATAGAAGGCTTTTGTTTACCATCTCTTGCACTTTCAATCTAGAGAAAACACTCAGGTCTACCCAAAGAATTAGTAACTTAAGGCAATTTAAAAAATGACTTTCTGTTCCCCTGCAGAAAAAAATCAGATACTTTATTAATTAGCTCAGGAGGAGAGAGTGGAATTGGAGAGTGTGTGAAGAAGCTGCTACAATTGTCATTCAGCCTCCAATATCTGTCAGGAAGGGCAACTCCTTCTAATACCATATGTTACCTATACTATATGTTACCTCCTCCTAATCCCCTTAACAATTGTTTTTGGCATGAGGACATATTTCTAGGCAGAATACTGAGCTGTAACCAGCCATTTTTACTTTTCAAGAAAAGTTATAGCTTCCATCTGGGTGTTATTCTTGAAATAAAAATGCTTTTAATTTGCTTTGAAGCATAGTAGCCTCCAATTTTTTGATCTATCTTAATGTTAAAAAGCAGGTGGAATTTGACAAGCCCCAAGAAAATGTGTATATCTCCAGCTGCTATTACCACAATGAACTCATAAATGGTTGAGTATCCAGAAGGGATTATAACTATACTGCTTGGTAGAAAATACTCCATGCAGCAGCATGTTCGTAGGCCTGCATCGTCAGATTTGGATCAATGAATATCAACAAGCAGTCAACCTGAGCCTATTAAAAAATTTCAGGCCCATCACCAGCATTAAGAATAAAATAATTATAGCACTGACACCTGGGCTAATGCTAATATAAAGGAAAAAGAATTGTGGGTTGTCAAGATTGAAAACAGAGGAATTTCATTTCTAATAATACTTTTTAAAGGGAAGCCCCTAGTCGGTATATGGCTTTTTGATAAGGCCTATGCTGGTTTCTCCATGCATAGTGGAGTAATTGCACTAAGTTGATAACAAGGCCCGGTCATGTAGGCAAAGCAGAAACAGTTCCCATCCCAATAGATAAGGCTACAAAGTCAATTCTACAATTATTTTGTCCTGCAAACTTTATTGAGCCATAGTTTCAGATGGGAGAGAATCATTTTGTATGTTTAAAAGAACTGTTGTCAATTAATACAAATTTTGAAAATTGATGTTCAAATTAAAAGTCCTATCAGAACTCTTGATGTTCTTTTCAAGTCCTGTGTTGTACAGCAAAAACCTTAATGTTTGAAAATTATACAGCCTAGACTGTTTGGTCCTTATTCGTAATGGCTGTCATAGTAATACCAGATCTTTTACTCTATTTACTTTATTAACTGATTAAAGGCTTAATATATATTGCAAATCTGATTTAAAAATACACTTCAATTCCTTATTTTCATCACATTTGCTTTTAACTAAAGGCTATTTGTAGTCATTTGAATTGGCACTCTTCAACTTGAGGTAATGTACTCTTAAATTTGATGCCACATACAGTCTTTCTATGTGATACACTCTTACTATATAAGATTGCATCATAAGCAAGTACTAACAAGATTTCATTGTTTTAAAAATGTTACTTAAAAACAGTATTTATATAGTATTTTTTAAATATTACAAGTAATACAGATAATTAAAATACCTCTTATATTCAACAGAAACCTGAGGCTGATCATAAACTCATTTCAAGAACCCAGTTGACAGTTTAACAGCAATGCAAAATAAATACAGGATGGTACATGTATTGTTCTTGTCAATAAATATGCCTTGGGACTCTACTGATGTTCTGTTGAAGACACATTATTGTTATTCTGGGTATTTTTTCCCTAAAATACATGACATTATTTGGTGTTAACCTTCTGCCTAACTAGATTTGTAATTTGAAATTCCTGTAGGTAGACTTCAAATATTAAAAAAGTTTGTAATGACTAGAAAGTTTTAACCTTTAATAGTGATATATATCTATAGTGTTAATCTCAGGAAATAGATTCCTGACTTACATATGATTTTTACACACACCATTTTGTTTTACATCCCTTATGTTCAATCAATTTGGAACAGCTTATAAATTCTACAAACAATTTTTAACTATAAAGCATGCTGGGTGCTAATGATAACAGGGCTTCCTGAAGGTTGATTAACAGTCCATGCTCTTTCCTTAGGAAGGAAATGGATAGAGGCTGGCTGATGATTTTTTAAAAAGTAGCCCTCTTAATGAATCGCTCATAATTTGTAATACGAATTATATATCATGGAAATCTTGGGGAGAAAAGTAGGAGGACACTTGTTTCATCTTAGCATCTTACATAAGGATCTATCAGAAACTCAACATCTGCTATCTATGGGGTGGGGAGGTGGCTGTTGGGGAGGGCAAGTTTGTAACATCCCAGCAAAAAAAAAATTCCACCAAACAACCTGCTCAAGGAGTCACCATGTATTAAGAGTTAGGAAATACATCACAAGAGCTTTGTAAATTCACAGGAAATCATTCCACAAAACATACTAACAATCTTTCTAATGATTTTTAATTCTTTTTGAGTGGAAACCAGAGTAGAGGCGTTCACAATGGAAATGATGTTACCTAAGACACTTAAGTTGTCTCTGTTGAACTTCCCCAACTCTTCTGCAATCCTCTGAAAAGCAGCAGTAAAAAAAGTAAAGTGGGGATTTGATTTATATATGCTTGGCTAAGTATCACTGGCACAAACTTAAAGATGGCAGAATAGAGCCTTCTATCTAATCCACCACCATCATCCCAAATTGCCCATTTTTTGTTCATCTGTCTTCAGACACCATCTAGTTCTGCCTCAATTTCCTCTGGATCAGTTAATCAGTTCCTCCTGAAATAAACAGCTTATCAGCCAATGCTGCTTACAAGTCATTTTGAATTATTATAATTTGTCTTTTTCATTACCTAAGTTTCCTGGCCAGAATATTAACAAATCTCCCCCCCACCCTGTTCTCCCACGAGCTGTTCAGAGCATCCAGTAGTGGGAGGTGCTTCTGTCTTTGCATATATAGGCTGGGCTTATTTTCTGGAACGGGACTTCTCCCCAGTGTACCCCAGTTTTGGCTCAGCCTTGTGGAGGAGAGGCAGTGCTTTTTGTTTTTCCTTGGCCAAAACAGGAGAATTACTTGTATTTCAGGTTTGGAGATAGCCAATTTGTCCTTAAGGCTCTCTTAGCCTCCAAATAAGTTAATGATCTACTGACGTCCTTTTCCACCTGGCCATTGGAGATTGCAGTATTGGGAAGCACTGTTCGCACCCCGAAGCGGAGGGAGGCTTTGGCATCGTTCCGCGCCCCCCCAACCACTAGCCCTACCCTTGCCATAGTGATAGCTATGCCATTTACAAATCGGCATGGCATTTTTTCGCTCAAAAGCTGAGTCACATCACTTTTCCCCTACAAATGCCATCTTGGGGTGAAGGGCATAAACGCCAGGTTCTTTCTCACCCCTCCCTGCTGTTTAGCCATAATGAGAAGCTGGGGCAAATCCTTCACACAGCGGGAGATTTTGCGCGTGCCAAATTTAACAGCCGGATGCCACTGTGCTTTAGGCGGATCACGTGGCCGCACTGAGTGAGAATCATCAGGCTGTGTGAGGTAGTTTCCCGAGTAGAGATTTCTCTTCAAGAACCCTAGGGAATTATTGCACCCTCGTTTTTAATCCATATTCAAGACCATCTGTTACGTAAACTGGTTGGCTTAACCCTCATAGTCCTACCTACCCAGTGGCACAACAGTGAGCACCAAGACCTGTCTGCCTGTGCATGGAAGCTGTTGAAGGCCTGTGACTCTTATTCTGGCCTGTTAGGCATTCTCAATTTGGCTGATTTGGGTATCCAATAAATTTAGCTGTTATATTGAAAATATACATACATATATACAGTGATTATCATTTAATATAATAATAATACAACTATATTGGTAGTAATATAATAATTTATTATTGAGATATGACTCACTACAAATAGATAAGTGCACATGGGAAGTGCACAGGACCTCTCAAGTTTCTTCGCCCCCCAGTCCAGGACTGTCTACTTCCTCCCACCCTCCTCCTCCCCTAGATCTTTCCCTCTCATCCAGGCACAGCTTGGCTCCCCAGAGTCAACATGCCCAGTTAACTGGAACATCAACCATGCGAAGGGCCCCTTAAGCTACGTTCACACCAATGGCTGTTGGCCTTCATCAGGATGACATTCTTCCAGATGAAGTTCCAGAGAGGATGAAGGCGTGAATGGAGCTGGCTATACGCCAAGGAATTGCAGCAGGACTGCAAGACAGTTCTGACCAGGGAACAATCCTGTATCTGCTGATTATGATTCACAATCATTACAGTCGTTGGCCAGGTTGGAGCAACAGTATACCCAGGTACAGTTTCAGAGGGATATGCCCCTCCAGGGGCCGCAGGAAAAGGAGGAGGAG